TTTTTTTATACTATTTTGATGCATATATAAAATAAATATTTCATTATTTTTTTCTTATCTTTTTCATATCAATTTAAAAAATTTAAATTAAAAAAATGATAAAAAATTGTTTATTTGTCATCATTGCTTTTGAATACTATGAAAATACTATAATATGCACCTACTTTGTGATTGAAATCACACGCTTTTCAAAGTACAACGCAACGCTTTTTAAAGCATATACAAAACCCAAGTGTCCACGTCGTTCTTCTCTGGTGGTTGGCCTGGTACTGGGACTGGGAACGTGAAGGCCAAGCAATGTGGTTTGGGCGAACTCGTGACAAGTCGTGCGTACACGTAGCGTAGAACATTACATTAACATGCGATTAGTCATAGTTTCTTTGCTTACTAGATATCTCGTAGCAAAATAGAACTGACAATAAGTTATCTTGAACTACACTTAAGTAAATTTCCAAGAAAATGCCTAAAGGCTCTAAACTTTGCGACACCCCATTCGTGGCGCCGTGGCACCCCAGTTGAAAAACACTGGCCTAATACATAGCAACGCAGATGAATAGAATTATGTTTTTAATTATCAGTGACAGCGTATGGACAGAAAACTAATTACCAAGTGCGTTTATCTTACGTACTGTTGAAATCGTTTTTACCTTTCTTACAAGTATTTCTGCCACGATATAAACAATAGACAATACGAAAATCTGCAATGAGAATAATGAAGTTTCCTAAAAGTTGTTTCAAGTTTAGTGGCTCGACATCATCTTCGCTTTCGTATATGGGAATTACTTCCTCTTTGCTTCTGAGGAATTCCGTTATTCCACTTTCAAACAAACAACGTAAGCTATAAATAAGCAAATGAAATATAAGAATAAAAATTAGAATGTTCATTAATAAAATAATAGTAATCAACCGTACATTTTATTAACGTGTTTCTTATACGGGAAATCTTTTCTTAGGAGATAGGCTACGGGATACGATATAAGTTGATCTTCACTCGTTATTATTTTTCCACTCAGATCCTTCCTGGTGACGCTGTTTATGTATTCAATGTTTTCTATATAAGCAAAACGACCGTTACTTATTTTCTCGGCAGTATCCTCTACATTCAAATAATTGCTTTTTTGATTGATGTGATCGCCTAATGTTTTCGAAATTGCAGATTTATTTCCCTACAAAATATAACAAATCAATTAACATTTACTGGGTGAATCCATATCATTACTATCAGTGTGATATTTATGCATATGCAAGAGAATGGCAAGGCAGACTTGGAGAATTTCGCCCACAAATTTAATTTCAGACGGTCTTGAGACAGAGTCTGAAATTAATTTGTGGGCGAAATTTCAGAAATGATTTGAGAAATGTTAGATATTATTGTGTTAATTGATTCTTTAATCTGTTGGCTACTTTATGGTATAAGTCGTTAAAAATCAGTATCCGATATTTCCCTGAGGCGTGAGGTAACATTGGACGATACTTGGAAATATGATGGACATGTAGGAAGTAGCTAAAATTTGTCAGTCAAAGGAAATAAAATTGAAATATAACTTATGCGCACATATTGAAATACAATAGATTCATCAATTTATAAAAAAAATTAATATGTAAAATATATCAAAATAGACTTTTAGGTTTTCATGGTCAAGAATAGGTTCTAACCATGGAAACCTAAAATTATAGAGTAAAATGGAAAAAAACAAGAAAATGTATCATAAAATGAATAGAGACAATACAGTACATAATACTTGTAATAAACACTAGTAAAAAGTTTAAAAATCTTTGAACAACAGCGACTTTCCAGCTGCAGGAATTTTGACGAAAACATGCAAGCTAAATACCGCATTTATTTGCATATAAGATGACCTCGCAGATAGGACGAGATATGACATTAAAAATCAAAATAAAAAAAATTAGATTTATTAATACAATTCTAATTTTATTTCATGTAATCACAAGTAAAATATCAAATGAACGTATATGCACACATTGTCCCACAAAAATTACTGGCATTTTAAACTTTAAGGAAAAATCTTGTAAAAGCGACAACATAATTTGTTCATGTAAAGCTGGACAATCGGAAATCTTTCTTTGTCAATTCTTAACAGTCGAATCTATTCTTCGTCGATTACACTTATGAGTTTGTCCGAATTCTGATTTCCAAATAATCATGTTTTCACGTAACTTACATCGGGCTCCTGTGTAATTTTTGAATTCAATTCAAAAGCTTTGCTTTTCCTATTACTATTCATCTTTACTCCTGACAATACAAAAGAACGATTCAAACGACTCAAATAAAATACCTTTGTTTCTAAACAGCAGAAGGTGAAAATCCGGTAAAAAATGCGAATACACAGTTCACAAAAATTATTGCAAAAAACGAAAAGATTCTTCGCTCGCGCATATAGGATGACCTAGGTTTTTAAAGCAGTGAAAAATGAATAAAAACCTTGTCGTATATACGTGTAAATACGGTATTTTATACGTATAGTTTTAGACTGTAACTTAAATGACAGAAAATTGATGTCCTGATATCTTATTGAATAAAAAAGTATAATACCCTCCAAATAATTTTCACAAGTTTAGAGAAAAAACAATATCAACCAAACAGACCCTTGATAATACGGTGCTTTTTAGTTTTTGGAAATCTAATTAAATAGACTGAAAAGAACCGTCTCTAATTGGACCTTTATTTTCAATTTCTGTTTGGTCTGTTTTGCCTCCTCAGGAAGGTGAGAACCACAATCCACTTGGCTTTCTTCAGCTTCAGGCTAGTTTATTTAATTAACAGGTGTCATTCAAGTGATGTTTTTTAAAGAAGTTGTTTGCTGAAAATATTTAGATTTCATTATTAATTTAATAACTTGCGTAAAACTTTAGCAATAGTTATTTGAAAAAATAACAGAATTCTGCTATTATATACCGTTTCAAATTCAAAGATTAAATAAGAAATGTATATACTATAGAATAGGCTATATTATTTTTACACTTTTGACTGTTATCAATATATATAAGAGGGATGTATGGTAATCGATCAGAAATGACCGCACGGATTATTAAATTTTTGGACTCTGGACACCTTGAAACGTCGAGAAATGCAAAAAATTTGAAGGGTTTTTTTCTGTTTCTATAAATCTTATTGTGTATAGAGATCAGGATTTTGTTTACCATGTTTGAAGCTTAACAACTCCTGTTCTATAATAAAATATATCTGAAATTTTCCACGGAAGTTTGTTTATGAAGAGGATCGATGATGTTTAATTTTGATGCTTAAACGTCAGAGTAAAAATAATGGAGGTCGTTGGTATCTTTAGATGGGCCGGATTAATGACGATTTTACTTGTTATTAGCAATTAAAATGTTTATAAAACTCATCCTTGCCCTGAAAATTCAGGTTTTTGCCATTTTATGATAGTTAAAAATATAAAATTTGTTTTAATACCACAGTTTTAAATACCACAGGGATAGTTCAGCAACACGTTGCTGGTTTCATTACTTCTTGAACTATTTTAGTAAACGAACACTTTACTAAACTAGTATATTACTATTATACTACTCTTAACCAATTATAATTACATGCCATATTGCGTTATTTTGAATACCTTAAAATACAAGTCTTTTGCAAAGTTAGATGTACCACAAGAGAAGTCGCCACTTTCTACTGCAGAAGCTAATTCATCAAAATTTCTTGGAATCCGTTCGTAATTTGGAGCAGTCAAGAAAGATATTAAAACTCCACTGTATCCATATCCCAGGACAAGCACGGTAATTAGCCAAACTCCGATTATAATCCTTAATGAAACTCGAATAGCGTAATCTAAATTAAATCCTACAAATTTGAAAATACAAATGTAAATTGCTATGAAAGAATTACTTTTATGGGTTATGGGAAACACGGAATACATTTTACCTTGGTAAGTAATAGTTGAAAACAAAAACCAAATGATTTTCTTCATTGTCCAATATTCTTTCCATTCGTGCAGATTATTTGCCTTCTTTATAATTTGAGACAAAACAATTCCAGTTAATACAAACGACATTAAGAGTAATAACCATACCTGAAACACATTTTCGTATGTACGTATAAAACACGTATAATCATGTAAATATTCAAAAATATATTTAATACGACTTATTTTATTGCTACGTATCGGTCAACAACTTAATTAAATTCATATACAATATCTATCAATGGCAAGAAATAGCGTATAATTTTGTACTGAAAGAAATTACAGTTTCTCATTTCTGTATAAGAACTGTTTTATATCACAATAGATTCATTAAAATTTGTCATATTTCGTATAGAATAATAATAAGATAATGTCTAGTATTAATACTTCATGTTGTCTTAAAATATAATTTAATTAAAGAACGTCGCCGTTTCAACACACGCACTGCACAGAGAAAGAGAGAGATTTTATGAATTTTAACCAGAATAAAAAAATGTTTGAAAGAGAAATAATTAATAATGTATTTATTCTTGATTTCTGTCTTAATGTAAACTAATGCTAAATGCTTGTTTTTAGCAAATAAATCAATATTTAAACATCAATAATATTGTGATAATTGTCAAATACATTACAGCGTTAGTAAAAAATTGTAGGAGTTTTCATCTTTGTAATGATTAGACGATAAGATGTAATAACTGTCACATCGTGTAACTAAAGGTATTGTCTTACTAGTACTCGTAAGTGTAAATTTGAATATTTAAGAGCACTTTTTCCATATTAATGCATGATATAGTTCTGAATGTATTTTATGATTTATTAATTAACATAAGGTTTCATATTATGCAACAAATTCAGACCTATACCAAAAATAACATATGTATTTCGTTAATTTTTTTCTGGATGTATAGGCCTATATAAAATATTTGCAATTTTTCATTTCGATGACATTGTTTTATTTGTCAAGCTTTATTGTCATCACTTTTTAAATTATATTTGTACTATGAATTTATTTTGGTTTAAATACGCTGAATAGTTAAAATATAATATACAATTGTAGTGAAAAGTGCGTTATGTAGAGTCTACGAATGAATAACCAAGGCTGTGGAGTCGCGTAAAAATCTACCGACTCTCCGACTACGACTTTTCCTTATCATCCGACTCCCGGACTTGTTACTAAACCCGGAAATTCTGATGTCATCACCTGAATAAAAGATTACAGAAAAGATAAAAGATTCGATAAATAGAGTTCTAATAAAAGTAGAATGCAGAAAATTTTTATTCCAAAGCTAAAAGACTCCTCTACATAATGACACAGTCAATATATAAATATTATTCGATAATTTTTACTTTTCCGGTTGTTACATATAACAGAGGAAAAGTGTAGCGCTTGGTCAAAAAAATGACCCCTCCCAAATTTCTGCATTTTTGGACTCAGGACATCTTGAAATTTCGAGATATGCAAAAGATTCGAGTCTTTTTTCTATATGTGTGGATGTTAGACTGTGTGTGTGTGAGGTATGATTTTGTTCACCCTGTTTGAAGCTTAATAATTTCTGTGGTTTTTAAATCAGAGTCAGATGGTTAAAACATAAGAGTTAGTTACTAATTAAGCGTCAAAATGGTTGAATTAAATCGTGTCCCCATACACATTCTAACATCTTAGGCAAGAACATTTTAACGGGTTTTACTGTAGTATATAAAATTACGAAAAGCTTGCAGTGAGATTAAACTTAAACCATTCTAAGATATTGTTTAATATCTCAGAACAGAGAATAAAGAAATTAATCAAATTAGAAGTTAACACACGCGCGCGCGAATTTTTCTCCTGTTATTGACATTTTGGGGGTTCGGGAGGTCTCCAAACATGTAGATTTGTAAAAAAACTTGGAGGGTCAAATTTGACACGATTCCAATACTTTTCCGTTTTATATAGGCTACATAATAGTTGGGAAGTAAAAAAAATGACGGATCCGACGTACTTTTTGACGGCTCCTACTCCACAACCCTGTGAATAACACAAAATAGACAAGAATTTAGAATTGAAATACATGAGTTCCGGTTACATTGGATGTTTCTATATAGTTAATCGGGGCGTCCCGCTTCTTAATGTTTTCACATCATGCTTCGTCTTTCATTATCTATCATTTTTCTTGAGATTAAGAAAAGAGAGACTGACAGACGACAGTGCGAATTTATATCTCTACATTTTTTTAAATTGCAGCCAATTAAATCTTTATGCCTTTTTAGCCTTAACGTTTAACTTTTCTGTTTTTATATTATCTTCGACCTCATTTATCTATATATATAAATGGACATGTATGTCCCTATATTTCACTTTTCCGCCAAAACTACACATCGCACGTGAATGGTGTTTGTATGTGGTGGTAGCCTCAAGTCTCCATTCGTGCACTATGGGGATTGCGTCTCGATAGCTATTAGGGTGCGGAAGATATGAGGCTGAAAGTGGTTGAAAGTGACTTTCTATTTCGAATGTTATGTTCGAATTAAATTCGAACATAAAATTCGAATATTGGTTCGATTATAGAACGATTATAAACGTTCCAGAAACGTTGAAAAGAGTTCGTTTGACTGGACGTGAACAGGAGACGTTCAGAAATAGAATCGGGACCAGGTCTCTAATTAGTCTGGAAACGGGGGACCTAATTCTTGCATTCTGTGAAAATGGGTAAGATTGGCTATAATATAATTATCTTAATCTTCACTATCGTTACTTTTTGCCCAGCGAAGCGGGTCCTTGCAGCTACATTCTAGATTACTTAGAAAAACAGTCTTTTATGTATAAAATAAAACTATATTACATACAAATAAAAACCCAGCCAAGCGGGTCCTTGCAGCTAGTAAATAATACTTATTTTAATTGTTTAGTTTCTGATTAGCAAAGAGAGAAAGTCTTAGTAAAAAGGTAAAACAAAACAACTTTCTTTTCACATGGTTAAAATAGAGATACTTGGTTTCAAAATTAAAATAACGTTTTACCTCAAATGTAAATGGTCTAAAAATAGTTTCCCAATTTGGCTTCGATTTCCGTTGTTTAATTACGAATTTTATAGGCAGCACCCGAATAATTGAAGTATAATCAATCAAATGAAAGACGTCTATACTCATATATTGAGGAAAAGCGGACATGTCTGCTTCCTGTAATTATAAAAAAATTACAATATGAAAATGCATCACGACTGAATATTTATAAATAAAAATAAATCGTTGATACTTTATTAATTATGTGTCCTATCATTCCAGAATAACTTCCATTCGGTTCAATTTTTAGAAGTGTTTTCGGCATAGGTTGAATAACTTCATACCTACAAAAATTAAAATGTTTTTATATATTTTTTAAATCAATAGTAATTTTTCACTTACATTTTAAATTAAATATATAAGTTTCGTTTAATTTTACTTAAAGTTCAATTTTTTTTTTGAAGAATTTCAAATATATATGAGCAATATGAAGTAATGATTTGTTTATCAGATTCATTCACAGTCATCCATAAAGGTGCCTGAAAATTTAAAACAACATTAAAACTGCAATTCAATAATAAATTACAAAAATAATTTAGAAATAAATAGAGTAGACTTACATCAATTCCTGAAATTTTCCACACGTAGTTCATTTCCATCTTCTTCCTAGAATTAAAAAAATTGCTGTTTTCATTGCAGCGTTTGTAAGTTGTAATGTGCAAAAACCTCTTTAAGTCACAAGAATAATAGTAAACTTGATTTTGCATTTAAGAAATTAAAGTAACATTTTTTTCTAAATCAGAAATTTATGCTCGAAATAAGAATTTACAGACTTGTGACAAAATAACAATTTTCGAGCTGCAATTTGAAAACAGTGTACACTATAAATTCATGCTGTTGTATGTCTGTCTGTCCTTATTTATTCTCGAGATTGGAGTAAGACAAACGAATGCTGTAACTAGATGTGGAAACTGTACATGGTCTAGGCCAGGGGTGGCCAACAGTTTTTGCCCCGGGCCGAAGTGGAAAAAAAACTTTTTCCATGGGCCGAACCAAAGGCTGCCCTAGGAAGATTTTGAGGTAGTGCGAGATCTCATTGCGGTGTCATCCCGTAGAGACTGATTTGTACATAAAGATTACAAATACATTTTTCACATTATCATGCTTTATCAACACTCTATGCCAGGGGTCGCCAAAGTGGTCTATATCGACTCCTTGGGGTCGATATAACATTATAGGGGGTCGATGAAAAGACTAAATCTTACAAATTTTGAACCGAATATTGCTAATCTTGCTAAGGATTATCAAGCTTATCCGTTTCATTGATTGTCAGTTACAAAAATTATTATTAACATATGTACAATAAATGTAAAAGAATGTAAAATTAAAAGATATATATTAAAATAGTAAGAGCTTTTTCTTGCTTGTAACACACTTTTTGGTGGGGGTCGATGTGAGGTGTCGAAAAGTTGTAGGGGGTTGACGATCAAAAAAGTTTGGCGACCCCTGCTCTACGCTGTACTTACGACATTTGTAATGGAGTGTTAACTCTAAACGCACAGTGAGTTGTTGACCTTTATTTTTTAGGCGTCAGAATGTTTCATCGAGCTATTTGGCCTTCAGTACCTAATAACGAAAGATTGATCACGGGCCACATAAATTCATTAGATGGGCCGGATCTGGCTCGCGGGCTGTATGGCCATGCCTGGTCTAGGTCCCAATTAACTATATAGGAACGATCGGTTTTCAACAAAAGTGACGTTATTTCAATTAAAAGTTTTTCTGGAAAAGAGTTAGATATTTGACCAGCACAACTCTACTGTTGAAGAAAAGGTATGATGTACAGAGACAATCCACTACTAATTTCAGGTGAAAAGCATATATTTTAAATAAAATAAATTCAAAATATGTTAAAAATTGCAGCATGGCATTGTGACGACGTCACTATAAATAATTTTTCGTTTTTTTTAACTTGTGTTTTCTTTCAAACTTTTAGAATGAACTTTTTTTGTGCGAAGAATATGATCGAATCTTATTTTATTCTTTTCTAATTTTATGATAAACTACACAGAACATAGTGCTTTATACAAAATTACAATAAAAATTTCATATTTTGATACTTTTATTCTGCACTTCAATTTGTAACCATCTAAATATGCAATTTCTCCTGGTAGAAATTTACTGAAATTGTGTACAATATGAAATTAGATGTGTTCCTATTCGTGACGTGTTAGGATTTCCTGCATATTTTCGCCGGATTCTTTATCTATATCTATATATATATAAATGGACGTGTGTGTCCCTATATTTTACTTTTCAGCCAAAACTACACATCGCACATGAATGGTGTTTGTATGGGGTAGTAGCCTCAAGTCTCCATTCGTGCACTATGGGGTTGCGTCTCGATAGCTATAAGGGTGCGGGAGATATGAGCTTGAAAGTGGTTGAAAGTGGAAGATTTTCTATTTCGATTTTAAAAATTTTCGAATTCGAATTTGTATTCGAATTTAAAGTCGAATTGGTTCGATTATAGAACGATTGTAAACGTTCCAGAAAATTGATCAAATTGAAAATAGTTCGTTTGACTGGACGTGAACAGGAGACGTTCTGTCTGGAAACGGGGGACCTAATTCTTGCATTCTGTGAAAACGGATAAGATTGGCTATAATGTAATTATCTGAATCTTCAATATCGTTACTTTTTGCCCAGCGAAGCAGGTCCTTGCAGGTAGATTCTAGATTACTTAGAAAAACAGTCTTTTATATATAAAAAAACTATATTACATACAAATGTACGAACAAATAAAAACCCAGCGAAGCGGGTCCTTGCAGCTAGTTTAGAATAAATTGTATACAGTGTGTTACATTAAAATCAATTTTTATTGAGTTTGGTTTACTATTCTATAGAAAACGTGTTTATTAATTAATATAAAATTATGCAAAAATTTCAGTGTCTTGAAAGAAGAGAAGCAAAACAAATGCGTTGTTATCGGCCTTTGTTTTACAGATATGCAATTTCAATAAGAATCATAAAAATTAGAATAAGCTTTTGCAAATATTACATCATAGTGCACTGGTAAAGAGGAAATTACAAACAAGGAAAAAGTAAGATGTATAGGCCTATACATAAATTGAGATTGTGCTTTAAAGCTTCTCTTAGTCGTTATCAGCCTGTGAATTTATACGATTGTGTGAATATATTTTCAGCAAGCAAAATTTGTAATAAAAATGTTGTACTTGATAGTTTTTCTTCGCTGGTTTCTTCTGCTCAGCAAACAAAATAATGCTGGTGTTTTCAAAAGGAAGTATATTTTATGAACAAAATTAGAATATTTTTAATAATTCCCATTTGTTTGTATTAAATATTTCATTTAATAATTCTAACAATGAAATTTTCAATAATAAATGTAATTTATGCACAATAAATATAACAAAGGGACTGTTATAGAAATTTCAATTTTTATATCTAATAGCAGAGTAATTATATTATTCGAATAAACTGTTCAGATTTTATTATAATAGAGAGGTTACAGCCGACGTTTATAAACTCACGTGCATTACAGCTGTGAGTATAAATTACAGTGGTGCCTTGTATAACGTTCGCCTCGAATAACGGACGCTACGAACAACGGACTTTCTGTTTGGCCATTACGTGACTCGAGCAACGGACTGGCTTCAAACAACGGACTTGCCGTACGGCATTAACGTGAGGCGAACAACGGTCGAAAATTTCTGCGAACAAGTGCGAATGATGTTTCCACTCTTTTGCCGTTGCAAATGACAATCTGCTATTTTTATAATATATTAGTATTATTAAAATATATTATTAGTATATCTGAAGTACAGAGCTCCCGTTGAGATTCGGCTTGCTCCCTTGTTTATTACGTACATCACCTCAGTGCAAAGTATTTACATTTATTCAAGTGTTGTGAAAATCATGGCTTCTAAATAAACAGAAAGGTGATTTGAATTGAAACAAAGCAAGAAATCATCAGAAGGAGTGAAAGTTGACCACAACTTCCTTGTCGAATGGGGAGAGGTTCAGGAGTTTACCAACACTCATTATCCAAACAGAGCTGAGGCCAACAAGATCAATGATCTCTACAATGACACCCTTGCCCGTCATTTCCAACAGGTGTTGAAGAAGAGAGAGAAACAGACCACCTTGGACATGTCTTTCAAGAAGCCAGCTGCCAAAAAACAAAGGATGGAATAAGAGGAGATGACCCTGCAAGCTCTGGTAGCCTCTCCTGAATCTGACTCCGATTAAAAACAATAAAAACAGACCTGCTGCAATGTGTAAAATGTCTGTATCTGTATGAATGTGTAAAGGAACGTGTTCCTCCACCTCCTCCTCACAATATCTGACTACCCAGCATAATTGGTGACTGCTCCATTTTCAATTTTTTTTTTTATAGTACAATACGATTATTTTATGCAGCGGAACGAATTATATGTTTTAACACGTATAACGGACTTTTCACTTAACGGACGTGCACCTGGAACGGATTAAGTACGTTATACGAGGCACCACTGTATATTGTTTATAACAGCGTTTCTCAAAGTGGGCAATAACGCCCCCTTGTGGGCGATGAGTAAATCTAGGGGGCGCTGGAGGCAGGGTATTGAACGGTGACCAAAGGCAAAATTAACTGGCGGATAATTACAGAACGATTCCGTATCCGTAGTTCCGGTTTTTACTACGAGATGCCGCTAGTGTCGTGACATTGAGTTGGTGTATACCTCGTACTGTACTGTGTGCTTGAAATTCTTTGTCGATATTTTAGCTTTAAAACCTTACTTTATCATCAATAATTTTTGAAGTATTCCCCCCTACGTTGAGAAGAAATCGTTATGGAAAATATTGCGTTGGATATATCGGAAAATACTTGTTATTGCGATAAGCACTTCTCCTCAAAAGGAAATCTTACTAACAAGCATGTAAGTTTAGAACATAAACAAATCCTGATGGAGGAAAAGTCTATACTCTGTCGCGAGACTTCATGTTCCGAAGGATTTTCTACTTCTCTTCGATTACGCGAACATTTAGAAAAAGTACTTTATCTATACATGGATTTACCTGTGAATTTGAGAAGCTGCAATTCAAAAATATGAAGGGTGACTAAATTCTGTTCTGAAATTTTAAAAATGCTCTATTTAATTAATATATCTTAAAATAATTGATTTCATGAATATTAACAGCTCATTCAGTTGTAAATAAAAATATTATGTACTGTATTTAACAGATTTCTACGAATGGAAGCCACAGAGGAATTGAGAACCAACTAAAGTTAACTGTGTCTTGCTGTGTAAAAAATCATGAAATTTATACTCGTGCGGCTCTG